TTTCACCATGTTGACCAGGATGGTCTCGATCTCTTGACCTCGTGATCCACCCGCCTCGGCCTCCCAAAGTGCTGGGATTACAGGCTTGAGCCACCGCGCCCAGCCAAGTTAACTTTTAAAAGAAAGGAAAGACTTAAATTTTCAGAGTGAGAGGGAGGGAGGAGAGATCACCTTAGGATTTCTTCCATGTGTGAGATTACTATGGTAGAGCAGATGTGTGATCTTGAACGTTGATTAGATCATGGGGTGTACTGGGGATGGTGCTGGTGAGTAGTTTTAATGGAGTACTTTGATGATCAGGCATATATTATATGATGAACATCATGAACAAAGGATGGGCAGGAAGGAAGTGATCCATGAGGAGAATTCTAGCTGCTATAGATATGATGAACCAGACTGAGGAAATGAGAGCAGCTGGAATGAAGCCCACTCAGTAACAAATAAGCTTTATGAAAGGATACATTGTCAGACATCATCATAAATGCCACGCAGCATATAACATTAATGCTAATAGTGCGAGTGTACAGTACTTGGACTAAAATTTGGGTTTCCTAAATGTGTACAAAGAGTTTATTTTACTGTAAGCCATTTTTAAATATAACTTTTTTTTTTGAGACAGAGTCTCACTCTGTCACCCAGGCTGGAGTGTAGTCATACAGATTCTGGCTCATTGCAACCTCCGCCTCCCGGATTCAAGTGATTCTCTTGCCTCAGCCTCCCAAGTAGCTGGGATTATAGGTGTGCACTACCACGCCCTGAAAATTTTTGCAGTTTTAGTAGAAAAGGGGTTTTGTCTTGTTGGCCAGGCTGGTCTTGAACTCCTGGCCTCAACAAACGACGAGCAAGAAGGAAGTGATCCTCTCGCCTCAGCCTCCCGAAGGGCTGGGATTACAGGCAAGGGCTACCACGTCCAGCCTATATGTAACTTTTTTATAAAATTAAGTTAAATTAATTTAAAATTTTTCAGAGAAAATATATATAGAACTAAAGAATCATATTTATAATTTTCTAATATAATCAATCACATTGTGACTGTTTACATATAAACCTTTACATTTCCAAAGCAAATTTAGTAAATTAAATTATATTAGTTATTAATACATTTTTAATATATTAAAGAATTCTAAGTTCATCAATATAGATTAAATGTTTTAATATAGATGTTAAATTTATTAATATAGAATTGAATAATACGAAATTGGGGAATGAGATAGAAATAGATTTTATTCTGAAATTTGTCACTGACTCTGAATGACTTTGGGCAATTTTTTTTCTTTTTTAGAGACAGGTTCTTGCTCTGTTGCCCAGGTTGGAGTGCAGTGGTAGGGTCATAGCTCACTGTAGCCTTGACCTCATAGGCTCAATAAATCCTCCCACCTCAGCCTCCCGAGTAGCTAGGATTACAGGCACATACCAGCATGCCTGGCTAATTTTTAAATTTTTTTTGTAGAGACAGGGATCTCACTATGTTGTCCAGACTTGTCTTGAACTCCTGAGATCAAGTGATCCTCCTGCCTTGGCCTCCCAAAATGGTGGAATTACAGGCATGATTACAGGCTTGTACCCAGGCTGGGCAAAATATTTTGAACTCATTTTAGCAGTGTTTTAAAGTGAAGACAAAACAAAACTATTCTTAATCTAATTCCATACAAATTTAATTTTCCATACATAGCAGTTTTTAATTGTCTTGTCCTGTATCCAAATTAGGCCACATGTGTACTCTTGTTTCCTTAATGAGAAGAGTGTCTTATTACTGTAGTGTGACATCACTGTGTTCGTATCTTGCTGGGTATCTTTGCTCCTATCATTGTCAGTGCTTTGACACCAGGCACTGAAGTCGTGCTTAGAAAGTGTTAGTTGAGATGACTACAAATAAATTGAAATATTGATTAAATTTTAATTTTAATTGAACTGATTTTAAAGCATGTGGCTGTTATGGTGAAGTGTGGCTAAATTTGCATTGTTTATATGTGCAACTATATGTTATCTATTGCTGTCCTACTTTTACAAAAATGTATTGCTTTTTTTTGTGTTTGTTTTTTGAGATGGAGTCTTCCTCTGCCGCCCAAGCTGAAGTGCAGTGGTGAGATATTGGCTCACTGCAACCTCCACCTTCTAGCTATTCTCATGCCTCAGCCTCCCCAGTACCTGGGATTGCAGGTGCCAGCCACCATACCCGGTTAATTTTTTTTTGTATTTTTAGTAGACAAAGGGTTTCATCATGCTGACCAGGCTGGTCTTGAACTCCTGACCTCAAGTGATCCACCAGCATTGGCCTCCCAAAGTGCTGGGATTATGGGCGTGAGCCACCATGCTTGGCCTACTTTTTAAAAAAACTTTGTAAATGTTATCATCTTGATGAAAACGGCTGGCAGGAATAATAAACATGTCAAAAATGAAAAGTGTAGGAAAAAGAGAAAATCAAAAGAGGTATATTATAATTTATTGAAAAACAGTCACTGGCACCTAATGGTTTATTTTAAAACTACTGGAAATGACAGAAACAAAGAAATCCTGGTCAGGCGCCGTGGCTCACACCTGTAATCCCAGCACTTTGGGAGGACAAAACAGGTGGATCACCTGAGATCAGGAGCTCGAGACCAGCCTAGCCAACACAGCAAAATCCCATCTCTGCTAAAAATACAAATATTAGTTGGGCGTGGTGGCATGTGCTTGTAATCCCAGCTACTTGGGAGGCTGAGGCAGGAGAATAGCTTGAACCTGGAAGGCAGAGGTTGCAGTGAGCTGAGATCACACCACTGCACTCCAGCCTGGGTGACAGA